TAAGTGCGAGAACGCGAGTCGGCTGTGTAGTACGGCTCACCCCTTTTAGGACTACAGTTGGCCTAGCTTTGTTTCACCCCGCCTAAGGCAGCGAAGACCTCTCGCCACCCAGGAAAGGAAAGGAACTTTGTATGGGAGTATCACACAGTAGCCCTGCAATGGAGAACCAGCCAGAGCAGGAAGATCGTGGCGAAGAGATGCCAGAGGAAGAAGAAGAACTAAAAGAAACAACACCTGCACAAGAAGTGGTGCCAGAAGCTGAAACTGGCAAAGAAGAACCACAAGGATCAAGAGGCGGACCTACTCCAAAGAGGATCACAGAAAAGATCGTACTTCCCTCGGTGGACAGGACCGGACAGTCCCTCACGGCATTCACTCGCCCAGAAGAGACTTCTACGCCTACTACAGGAACCAAGAGTAAGGCAGAGAGAAAAGAAGCAAAGAAGTCTGCGAGAAAAGAAGATAAGAGGAATCGAAAGCTGGACAAGGTGGCAAAGAAAGCCGAGGAGTCTGAAATGGAAAGAGAATCAGTACGAAGAAAGCTTGACAAAGCTCTGGAGAATGCAGGCTGTATTGAATCGATCGTGCTACTTGAAAAGGAGTATAAAGCCCTTCGACAGGACCCATCCCACAGACCGAATTTCCATTCTCTCATCGATCAAATCATCTCAAACTTCAAGTACATACCCAGAACAGTACGTGATGGCCCCCCGGCAGGGCAAGAAGAAAAGAAAGGACTTGAAGAACTTAAGAAGGAGTGCCAAGCCGAAGAGTCCCAAGCAGAAACTCCCGGAGGACCCGCAGAGATGGAGCATGATGAAGAGTCTGCCACAAGGAAACGCAAGCTTGAGGAGCTTGAGGAGAAGAGACGTGTCTTGGCCGAAGAGAATGCCAGAATGCAAGAGGAGATTGAGAAGGAAACCAAGAGGATCAAATCTGTGGAGGAAGCCGAGCAAAGAGCTCGAGAGCAGCGAGCGAAGAACCCCAAGGTACGAGTCCCAACTGAACCGGAGAAAGCTGAAAAGGAAGCATCATGGTTTGAAAGGAAATCCGCAGAACTGGTGGAAGCCTACATCCATGGACAGCCGAAGCAGCAGGAGAAGTCCAAGAATGCAGAGGCTGTGTACTTGTCTGCGTGCAAGGATACTGAGCAGGCCCAAGAAGCTTTCATGTCTGCACTTAAGAAGGTTCAGGACAGTGCCCAAGGACTCCAGGAAAGTATGGGCAAAGCACTGGAAGCAGCGATCGAATTTGGGCGCGAGGATGAAAGGAACAAAGTGTACACTCAGGCGAAGGCAAAGTGTACCAAATCTGAAGTCCCTCCAGTTAAGGCAAGGCCCCAGATCCCACCAGGACTCCAAGAGAAACTCAGGCAGGAGAAGGAAACCCAACAAGCTCGGAAAGAGCGAGAGCCTGTCAAGCCCGAACAGGAAAAGTCATCTTGGAGACCTCGAGCACAACCAGCTGAAGAGGAGCCAGGAAAAGAGTGGACGGAAAAGGTTTCCGAGGACATCTGGAAAGCAGAAAGGAAACTTGCGTCAGATGAAAAGTTTTTGGACTGTGTCCATTACCCGTTCTCCCCGGACTGGCAGGATAGAGTGCGAAAGGAATTACTGGACTTGGCCTACCGTGGATTCAAGAAAGGCGAGAACGAGGAAGTATATGTCACCAGGAATTTCGGTTGGCAGCTTCGTTCGAGCAAGGAATTCCACGAAATCGAGAACAGGTTACAGGAACAGTTCGGACTCAGACTGGTCTGGAAAAACACGGAAGTTAAAGGAAAGAGTAAGGCAATGGATGACTGGCATTGCTACCCCCTTGGAAGAGGATGCATGGAAAAGTTGGGAAGGTATGGACACTATACCATCCAAGGAAGTTTGCCGCCTAGTAAGGAACTGTGTTCCATATGCTGGACGAGCGGCCACTGGAGGAAAGACTGCCCCCTCGTGGACCTGGTATCTCAGTTGTGGGAGCCAGCACTCACAGTGTTGGTACCAGGAAAGAAACTCCGGAGGTTCTATCCGATGCGGAACGTCGTCTGCGAGAAGTACAAGGATGAAAGGGATGAGTTCAGGAAATACTACCCAGCTGTTCTACTCGCGGACTATGGAGCTGTGGATGGCAATATCTCCGAGACCAACAAGAGGAAGTACAAGGAAGAAAAGAGGAAGTATCCAGACAGGTATCCAGAGATTGAACCTCCACCAGAGGAAAGAGGAAAAGGTATCTTCATACCACCCAAGCAAGCAATTTCCCATGCGGAATCAAAGTCGAAAGCAAAGCAACCCGACTCCAAGGAAAGTACTCCTACCCCAAAGGAAAGCATGGCGAAGCGCACAGAAGAACTTTTGGAGATGCAAGACTCAGCCAAGAAGAGGCGAACCAAGGTGCTCGAAGGAGGAACGAAGGAGACGATCGACGTGGACGCCGACCAAGAAACCCCCAGTAAGGCGACCTTACCACCAGGATATTGGGAAGACCGCCCTCGCCATGGAGAAGAGGGAAAGGAAGCGACAAAGGAAGTTCTTCGTCAAAAGCTCGAAGAGCGCAAGAAGGAAAAGATCGAAGAGTACCACGAGAAGAAGCGCCAAATTGAAGGATCCAAGGCGAAGTCAGAAGCAAAGCCCGAACAGACGCAGGATGTTGAAGGAAAGACAAAGGTTGAAACTGGACCAGGACCAGATGAAGCAGGAACAGATCCCAGCAGTAGCGATGAATCCAGCGAAACGTCAGACGAAGAGTGTGACGAACCTGTACAGAAAAAGCAGGATGATTCGGATGATGAGTAGTAGTGTACAGGAACTGCTCAGAAGGAACATGGATCAGAGCGTAGGCAGAATGCCTACTGCAGGAACGCCTACTGCAGCGCTTGAGCTGATTGTACTCATATTTCTTCAGTTGATCATCAACTGCACAAAATTAAAACAAGGACAGAGTTGCATGCGAACAGCGCAAAAAGACCCCGCGCAGGAAGTTTTGATGAGAAGGAAAGTAAATCGTATGCACAGTATCCGCTGGAGGAGAAGAGTAAGCGAATGCAGAAGGAACATCAAGATGGTTGTATTTATGACCCTGATTGCCAGGACCGAAGCTATGGAAGCAGCAGGCTCACCGGGAGCAAGTGGATCGGATGGACCACCCATTGGCCCTCAGAGGCAACCTTCAGACGATGGACTAGGAATGACCCCGACTGCCGATATCCTATCTCAACTAGTACAGAACAGCCGTGTAACAACGAATGCCATCAGTCAACTGGCACTTTCACAACGCGACGGAGTATTGTCGAGTTCAGGATCATCGTATGAAGTATCCCTATCCAAAGCCCTTGAAGGAGCAGTAAAGATGCTAGGACGCCCGCCAACCTTTGGTGGAGGAAAGACAGAAGTGTACGACTTCATGGACTTCAAGGAACAGTTGTACAATATCCTAGCTTATGCCGAACCCAAGTATGCCGAAGCCTTCAAGAATCTAGAGAGACTTGGAGATCACGACAATGTCCCTGACAGATTTGCAACTGAGGAACAACAAGCCATGTCTACGAAGCTGTATTCCCTGTTGAGTTCGTGGTTGACTGGTACTACGAAGCAGCATGCACGAGATCCAAGTATTGCTGCATCGAGGAATGGATTTGCACTATGGAAAGCATTGCTCAGGATTTATCAGCCAAGTACTAGGAGCCGAAGTTTGGCTCTCATGCAAGCAATCCATAGTTATCCTAATTTCTCACCAGGAGTGAGTTCAGTTGCCCAGATATCGACGCTTGAAGAATTGGTGAAGGACTATGAAAGATGTAGTGGTCAAGTCTATCCGAGAGAAATACTTCTCTCTACTCTGTTGAGATGTATTCCGAGTCCGTTGAAGGAACATATTCACTTGCAGTTGACGGATATAACAACGTATGCTCAGGTGAAGGAGAGCGTACTTGTCGTCGAACGTACCACCAGGACTTGGATGCCAACTCAAGTGTACCAGCCTTTGGAGAATGGACCAGGACAACATTTAGGAGCAGTGGAGAGTCCATCAGCGCCTGGAGGACAACAGGCTATGCAAGTAGATCGCGTGGAATACAAAGGTAAAGGATGGAAAGGTAAAACCATCGGAAAGGGCAAAGGAAAGAAAGGATTCCGAAAAACGTTTGGAGCATTCGGTGCTATGCATGCTGGAAAAGGATTTAGGTTCGGAAGAGGTAGAGGAAAAGGCAAAGGAAGAGGAAAAGGACGAGGAAAAGGAAAAGGAAGGAAAGGATTTGGCAAAGGTAAGAAAGGAAAAGGAAAAAGCAAAGGCAAAGGAAAGAAAGGAAAAGGAAAACGTCTTGGAAGAACAGTGTGTCGTATATGTCACCAAGAAGGACACTGGGGAAATGAGTGCCCCAATCGACACTCAGTACGAAACGTTGAAGCAGAAGAACACACCCCTGGGACAGAAACCTATGTACACAACCCACCGAATCAAGAACAGTACCCAAGGCCAAATGTGGTGGAGTTTGGCAGTATTCGACAAGCCACAAGCAGATTGGATCCGAGAGTCGTGACAAGGAGAGTGAGGGAAAGCTTCACTCCGAAACCGTTCTACCACATTGGAACACCCCCTGTGGAGTTCCCAGAAGTCTTTCCCATGACCTCTGATGAGGAGGACGAAGTAGGAGGAGATGTCCCTATCTTGTACACAAGGATGGTGAGAGAAGTGGACCAGAAGGAAGATAAGTCTCCCAAGGATTCCTTAGAACCGATCACCAACCCGTTCTATGGAGAGTTACCCAGTCCAGGATTCACTGATTCGGAAGAAGAAGAAGGAGAAGACCAATCTGTGGCCCAAGGGTCATGTAAAGGTTGTGGAACTAGGCTTGAACTTAGTTGCAAGAGACCGACGAGTTCAAATGAAAGCCAGTATCCGAAGATGCCTGAATTGTACCCAGGAGAGGATGCATATCTTCGCTTACAACGGAAACTTCGACATGAAGGAAAGCCCTACGACAAGGAAGCTTTAGAAGATTCAGCACGAAGAGAACATGAGTGGATTGAACGTCACCTCGACCCGGAACGCAACACCAAGGAACAGGAAGTCGACAAAGTACGGATGGTACGAGAGGAAGACTTTCATGATGTTGCGGAATGGTTTGTCATGGATGATACCGATGGCGATGACAATTGGTGTATGGTTGGAAATGTGGACAGCCCCGACGTTATCCGAGCCGTCCAGACGGAAGAACGTGTACCCAAAGAAGGACTGGAGTTGATTATCTTGGATTCAGGATCAGATGCAAGTTTACTTCCCTGTGATCATCCTGAAGCAGTAAAGGTCAGTTCGGAGAACACTGGAGTATTATTGGAGGATGCTCAAGGTAACCAGATAAGGTCAGCCGGTGTCGTGGCTGCGGTCATCGACCTCGAACAGGGTGACTGTGGGACAGCCCCTAGTATTTCTGAAAATTTCATTGTTAGTGAGGCTACTAACATTCTGTTGTCAATGGGACGTATCTTGAAGAATGGATGGAAGCTTGAGTATGATCCTCGAATTTCAGCTGAAGAGCAGACCCGTGGAGCACAACAAAATCTCACCGTGTCCTCAATGGTATTGGTAAGTCCTGATGAGAGAGCGAAGGCTAGGATCTTTTACAAAAGGAACAGTTGTTGTTTGTTCGGTCGTATTTCAGTTGTCGGAAGTAGTCGTTCTAGATTGCCAGAGAGCACCCGTTGGACGGGACAAGGACCTAGGCAAGGAAGCTCTAGGAACGATACTGACAGTTGGACTGCAGTAGAAAG